ATTTTGAGCGAAAGGATCAGATCGTTTGACTTGGAATTCTAAATAATTTACATTGTATTATAGTATATAATTTGTGAATAGATAATTTCTCTACTTAAAATATTAGTAATATTAAATTTAATCGAACGAAAAAGTACTTTTCGTCATTTCGTACGACAACACATTCCGCCTCCGAAACGTCACCGTTCCAGACCCGCGCCTATAAATACGCCTCCGTACGTACTGCTATGTGTACACCTATATATATATTGTAATGGTAATAAATAGACTTTGCCACGTCGTTTTACAAACGGTTTTACATCGGGATTATTAATGTTTTCGTCGACCCGGAAGCCGGGATCTTGCGTTCGACCGTCCGAGAACGCCTATGGCCGCGGTCTCCAAAGAACACTTTCGCCACGAGACTGCACCGGTGTTCGTGTAACACCGCACCGGTACGGCTACAAGTATACGTATGATAAAATATAGAGTACGACTGGCAGTATCGATCGGAGACCGGCTCCCAAAACACGTCGAACATCAAAACGCGCGCGTTTATTTAATATTCCATTACCCTCCCCGGACTTCTCGCCGCTCTTCTGTAAAGCACGGACCGCGTTCGCGCTGTATGTTTCTATTCGACTACCTTAGTATTCTCTTTAAAACCCTCACTGGCGCGCACGCTCGTGTTTGTTATTCCATTATTATTTATGATTCGGATACACATACGCAACACGCGCGTTTCGCAATGTGCCTATGCGTTCCGGGCGGTTATGCCACCCGCAGCAATCCCTCCGAAACTCTAATAGAATATTTCCGGTTTTTATATGTTTACCGAGTGCGCAGAGTATACAAAATACATAATACAGTACTGCAATAATGAAAGGTATAGATACGCGACGGGCCGCACGCGTATTGTGACATTGTTTATCGGGGGGCGGGGGGGGGGCGGCGGGGGTGTTCCCCCTCCTAAGATCACGCGAACAATATATATTACGGGCACACAAACCGGACGCAGGCGAATAATAATAATAACGATATTATTTCAAGAACGTAGTTGAGTATTTTGTTTTCGTTAGATCCAAACGGCCGAACGCGAATCGAATGTGATTTGTTTGTACAGATACTTGACCGTCTAAAACGGTAATATCAACGACGAATTCGAGAAACACTGGAACGCGTGAATCAAACGATTGCAGGCGAAAATGAAATTGGATTCAGTTAGATCAGGCCAAAGCGCATAAGCCGGGCCCTCCGGCACGTACGGCAACGGACCTTGTTGAAAAATATGGGCCCAGAGATCGGCGACAACGACGGTCCAGACCACGGGTCACCAAACGGCGGCCCGCGAACGGATTTTATCCGGCCCGCAGACAAAGAACATATTACGACAACGTTCTAATAATAACAATAATAATGTTTATAATTTATTCAAACGAATTAAAACGGGCGATCGCCCGACAGTACAGGCAATTAGGTTGTATTGTGCTAAACGTTTTACGTTGATAAACATATAATTGATCGCAATAAGAATATAAACCAAAATAATATTAATATAACGGATATTACACAGTATTATTAAAACGTTTTGTATGAATCATAATAAGTGAACAAAAGAAGAACTAGACTTTCTGTAGAAAGTTTGTTGTACAGGGACTATGGCTCTCGGAGAACATTTTAAGTAGTCTGTGCCGTGTGACGGTAAACGGAACGAGGATGTGAAACGGCTATTATAAGCTGGGATTTTAGACGGGACGCATCGTAATAGATGGGGAACATTATACGTCTTATTGTTGTAAATTATTATTTTTGTTAAATATCATTGGTTTTTGCCGACAGCCGACCGATATCCGATATCGGTCGCAAAACATATCCTATCTAAACTTTAATTTCAGTCGGTCCGTCAGTCCGTCAATTGTCGCCGTTTGTATTAAATTGTTATTCTCTTCGTGTTTATTGCATTGATTTATTTTTTCGATTTATTTTACGATCAAATAATTTGTAAGTTATACCATTTTTATTTGAATATGGATAATAAGATGAAGAAAAGTTGAAATTGAAAACGGACAGTTTTTGCCTTAGTGGACGTACCAATATTGATTTATTTTATCGGATCGGGCGGGGGCCTTGTCAGTTTGTTTAATTTGTCACCAGACAGCAGATGTCATGACATTTTTTTAACGTCGTTATGAGACTTCTAGAGTCTAGACTCTAGAATCTAGACTCTCACTGTATGAGAAGTTTAGACCACCTGGTTCCGAGTCTCCGAGGTAGCGCGTTCCACGAACCCGGCCGCAAAGTATACAATTCCAGAAAAGTGATCCATCACAGTACTACAGTATTATCTAAAATTAGATTAGGATTAGGATATTAGGATAGATTCATCTTTGATGTTTTTGGTGTATTGCATAGCTAAACGATATTATTAATTTTGATTTCAGTCTGTTTTGGTTTTGTTTAAACAAATAAATATTAAAATTAATAAATTAATACGTTTATAAACTTACTTAATTTTTCGAAAAACTAATGAACCAAATCGAAAAAATTAAAATTAATAATATTTTTTACTCGTACAAAGTAAGAGTATTAGAAAAACCTGATGGAAATATATTATTAGAAAACTATTTAAAACAAGGTTTTCCGCGAACCAGCAGCGTAGCGTACATTTTTGAAAGTATCTTTTGGATATCTCGAAATTAAAACGTTACCCGTCCGCGATAAGTGAGATTTATGCGCGCACGATGACATCCGATGGTTGGATTATAAATGCTATAAGGGGTTGGACAGGGTGTGTTTGCGGTAAACTTTAGATTTATAGGGCACGAGGGACACTATCGAAACGGGTGTACTTCCAAAACTATAAACCGTGATAGTAATATTTTTCTTTGCGAATTATCAGACCTAAGAATTTCGATTACTTAAAATAGATACTAATGTTAAGCTGCTTTAACAAATTTTAAAAGTAAATGTATGTAACGTCCGGGACGGCATTACGAGTAAATCACGCGAATTAATTTATGACAGTCGATTTTTTTTTTTTTTATATAGCATTTCAGAGATTCTGGTGTTTTAAAAATAAAATACAACTTATATACATTTAAATTTTTCAACGGCAGTTATCTCTACGTGTTGTATGATTACACTCATTTTTAGCACAGAAGTTTAAAGAATACGTTTTGTACCATCCATTACGATAATATCCGTGTAGATTGTAGAAGTTAGTTGTGTGATATGTATCCGGATTTTGGATTTCGGATTATAAAAATCCGAAAATTTGACCTTAAATTCGGAAAATTGACTAGTTAATACTTTAAGGAAGTTAATTTTCGCAAGCAGGCTCTCATAATCATTGGGAAAAAATGTAAAAACAAACGTACGAATATTTACAGTATAACGTTAACGTTTTCATGATTTTACATTATCGTAACAAATGTTAAATAATTGTAGGAACCTGTAATTTTCACTAAATACTTACATTGGCCTTTTGTAGATGCGGTAGAATTTTCAAAACATCCATGTTATTTTTATTTTAATATTCCAAATTCGAAAATCCGGATTTTTTCCACCACTAGTAAAAATTACATCACCGCTATTAAACAATAAAATGAATACAATCTAATTTTAGTTTACATCGCGGACGTTAATAATTTCGTGATGATATAAACGATCGAAAGGGAGCTACAGCAAGCTATATAGGGTGCAACGTAGTACAGATATATTATTTCTCAGATTTTATAATTCTATAAAATCCTGATATTACTATATTCTAGTCACTGATATGTATGATAAAATAATATATATAATGTATTTTATTTGTATTTGTCTTGTAAAAAGATTGTGGACTCTCAATCCCCAGATCTTTGCTCTGGATCCGTGCCTGTTATTAAATTTATAATGATGTTTATTATTATTATTATTTTTATCTTTAAACAACTTATCTACTAGAAATCTTGCTTCAATTTAAATGTGTAGTACCTGTTCTGAAAGAAAATTTTGTCTTGGTGGTACTTTACAATGGTCATTCTCAAGCATTTTCCAAGCGTTTTCATAATAATTGGGAAAAACTGGGAAAAAAACGTAGGAAAACGAAGAATATATGTGTTAAGAATAAATGTATTATTTTGAATTCTGTTTTTTATTGTAATTGAATTAAAAATATTTGCGAAAACTTGAAATCAGAGCAGACAATTTGTATTTGCCTAATTTAGAAGTGGTAACATTTTTTAAAACATTTTAGCAATGTTTGAACTATTTATAGACATTTTAATATTGCGAGTTTTTTACATTTTAATTTTTATTTGGTAGTTACTATGTGAATAAAATTGTCAGCCTAAACAAAAATGCCCGAAAATTTAACAGGAAGTTCATTATAAATCATAATTTTTGGTCAGGGAAAAAAGATTGAGTATAATGTAGAATTTTGTTTTTTATGAATATTTTATTGTCAAACATTAACGAAAATCGTAAATATTAAGGCCTTTTGAAACATGTATAACCGAACTGCGTTTAGAATCGTTTTCCACTTAGAATCTAAAAAAAATGGTAGAAAATTATTATTTTGACGATGAGTTATACCTATTTGTCCAAAGTAATTTTCGTCTGTAAAAAAAAAACGCACCCATTCCCCTAAATAGTTATTGTGCATTAGATTAGTCCTATCTCGTAAGGTGGTAATTATAATGTTTTTAACAATTTTTATACTTTAAAAAATTGAAGAAGATTTGAAAACCCAGCGTTCGGAGGCTTATTTAGGTGTATTACTATTACAGCATTTGATTTAAAATTTGATTGAGATGCATTTATATATTAAACTCGTATAACAACGAGTCCGTTAACATAAATATTGCTAATCACAAACACAGTTACCTAATCATAGCGTGTTTGTAAACAAGCCGATATATTTTGTTTTTTTTTTGTTGGTAAAAGCTGTTTACCAATAAAATATATTGTTCTGCACAATTATAAAAAAATTAGGTTTTTAACGGTTGACCATCCAGTTTAATTTTGATATAATAATGCAAATGGATAATTGTCATCATGAGACCGAAGAGCTATATAATTATTACAGAACTCAGACACCCGCTCAGTGGCTGGACAACAGTTGCCTGGAAATATCCGTGGCCGAGAAACAACAAGAATTTGCGCAAAGGTTGGCGCTCCAAGCCGATCGACTGATAGGTCGGTCCAATGAATCGGTGTTGAAAAAAGAATCGGAAGTCGATCACCGGTCCAAAGTAACGGTCAAAGACGTGGAATACAAGTGTGATGAGATCGAAAAGCAAAAGCACAATGTCGTGGAAGAAATCGATTTGCTGGTGGCCTGCCAGAAGCGCATCGAATACGTTATCAACAATTTTAGTGCCGAAGCGCTCGACGCCATTGCGGAGTGTCTTAGGCTAAGGTAAGCGGGCATATAAGTAGGTACAGAAAATCAAACATCCAATCGATTAATGAACACATATAACAATTCGAAAAAAATTATTGTACGCGTATGTATCCAGCGCGACGGCAGTGGCGCGAAACTAAGTAGAAAAAAAAAAATAGCGTAGTAGCCACTAACGTATAGTAAACCGAGTTGTACCATTTGAAAACCGTACTAATTTATGTGTTAATCCATCGGCCGGTTCTACAGGCCAAACGGCTAAACCTATAAGGTCATATAAGGTGTCAATCGATCGGAAATATTATGCAGATGGGAACGACGGAAGAACTCGCGAGCAGATTGGTTTGGTGGATTAAAAGTTACAACCGAAAAATGTTCAGGTACTTTCAAATCCGATTTTCCGTAATCGACGAAAACATCGTAAAATATCTGCACTCGTTGCTGCGGCGACGACGACGTAAAATATAATTGTCCCCCGATCGGCCGGTTGTCCATCCCGCTGCTTTCGTTGCTACGACGACGACGACGACGCCGTTCCCTGCTCTGTCATTAGGTTTATATTTAACGACCAGTTTCGAATTCAAAATTCATCTACAGCTTTAACAAAGTCAAATAACATCGCGACTTTTTTTTTTTTTTTTTTTTTTAAATAGCTGCTATCAAATCGAAAACAATGCGTTATAACGCCGTGTAAAAAAAAAGCCAAGTTAAAAAAAATTAAATTAAGTAATAATTCATAAATTCATAGGCATGAGAAGGCCTCTTTTTCAGGGTATGCAGAAGGCTGCCACTAGCGCTCTTAAAAGTTATTTTTAAGCTCGTAAAACACTAATTAAAAAATTGACACAAATATTGAAATGCGTCTTACCAACTATTCAATTAAAAATGTAATTTTTACTTAAAATTCAAATTGAATTGCGACATTTTATCTACTTGGTAAATATATAGGTTATTTTTTGATTTTCGAGACGGCATTTAAAATAGAAACGATTGACTAGGTAAACAATTTTTTAACGATTTTTTCACAATTTTGTTATTTTAAATAAGTACCTACTACTTTCTTAGCACAAATATGGATCCATTTGAAAAATAACAACAAGATACCATATTTTTGTTGTATTTTTTTTTTTTTTAATAAGCGTTTTGAAATCAAATTTAAACGAAAAACGCAAAAAAAATGACTGCACACAAATTATGTATTACCGAACTGCGCTCGGAATTTTCTTTCGTCAGCAATGGTTTATCGTTGCTTACAGATATAAATGAAATAACCGTATGTATCCTACCTTCCCAATTTCCCACCTACTCCAGTATCAGCTCTTTTTTTATACACGGAGTTATAACGAAGTGTTTTTGGTGTGATATTTATATATATGTATATATACATATGCATACATACAGAAAGTGTCGGGCAAGCATAGACTTGATATTCGACAACGTCGAAGAGCAACTGATACGAGAACGCGAACTGATCTTGATTGTCAAACTACAGCTAGAAGATTTATTCGACAAAGTTATGATACAGATCAGAAAACTAAGAAAGTTCGATGTCGACTTGGGCGAGGATTTACACGGCAAACTGGAAACGTTAAAAATTGAAAATCACGGCAGAACGTTCAACGAAAAAAACATCGACCTATGCATTTTGGACGATCAACACGTAATCGAAGAGGCGTATGGTTTTTTTTTTTTTCTTATCCAAATTATTATTATTTTGCATTACATACTATGAAACGTCCATTGACGGTTGTTTTCTTCCAGGAAAGTATCCCTAACGAATTGGAACCGTTATAGTACGGAATTAATATTGGCGGCCAATCAAGCACTAGTCGAAAGTCGGCCCACTCGCGTGAGTTTCGACAATATTTCCACTAAATTGATCGCCGACTTAGCGGTGCAAGCGGAAGTGGTTAACAAAGCTATTCGTTTGCGAGTGGTGGATTATCAAGAAGTGATAGTAAAATTGAAAACCCAAAGGGCCGAGGTGATAAAATAACGATATAATAGGCGATAATATGTTATAATGACAGTCCACATAAGTATGGGGGAAGAAAAGCGAGTTGTGATCATTTTTTTTTTTTTTTTGGTTCTTTAATAATTAATACATACAAGTTTGCGTTCAAATTTGACACTAAATAGGTGTAGTATGTTATTATAATAATTCAGATAATATTCTAAACTAATTCTAAGCGAAGATATGTATAGCGTATGAATGAAACTGCTCGTATTTTGATTTCATTCAGTCTCATCCGGTTTCGTTTGTTATAGTCACGAGATGCGTGGTCGGAGAGTTTATTTATAAGTTATTTAATAACGAAAACGAAAGAGTATAACCGATAAATTAAAGTGTGTATACACCCATCCGGAATTTTAAAATTAAGGGACGATATGATGAGAGCCGGACGGAAAATTCTACCAGTCAAACGGTTTATAATAATGGACGTGACACTCGTCTACGATCCGATTAACTGTTCATATAGAGAGTGATAGTTGGATAGCAGAGAGTATCCATGACTCACGAGAGGGCGCGGTTTATAACTTTAATATTTTTTGAAATATTATATTAGATAAAAATGTACAGCAAAATGATCACTCGCTTTTTTCCCGTGCCTTGGTCCGCGCGCGCGACATACTCACCTACACGCAGAGTAATCAATATAACGTAAAATACTCATTATCTCGGAAAAAGTATTGATTTTTTTCGGAATTTGTTTTTCGAAACTGTAAGCGATAAGCGAGTGGCTCTATATGAAATTTCACGTTCCCGTTGTTTTCTGTTGACTTTTTTTGGGAGGGAACGAAACAATTACCTACTTTTAATCGATCAAATGGATGGATTAGTTATTAAAATACATTTTGGAGTTGGCATTTTCGATTTCCGTCATCCCGTTGACGAGATATTCCAGTTTGAAATTTGTAATACTATTTAAACGCCGCGCGCCTACTGCTACACAAATTATAATACATATACTCTCCCGCTGCAGAAAATTAGAAGTAGAATGTGTCGACATCGGGTTAACGTTCCGAAACTTAACTCGATTAAAACTAATACTTCAACTTTTTGTTGAATTTTTAACCTAGGTAATTGGGTTACCGTTTAAAAACCAAAAGAAAGTAGTGATTTCACTCCGGAAAATAAAGGCAATGTAACTTTTAGAGCGGAACAACATAAAAATAAAAAATCAATAAATAAATACTTTCCGAGATAATGCGTGTCGTTGTGTTGATTATTTGTCGTTATATGGATATACCTGCTCGGTATTAAGCTATTGGATTTTCGCAGATCATAAAGAACTTGAAAATCGTCGAGGAGTCGATTGAAAAACTTCATAAGGCCATCGACGAAAAAGCCACACACATAGCGTTGGTGACCACGCGATTATTAAATCGGAGTCACCGCGAAGGGATAAACTTGTGCCGGGACGAACTGGAAGTAAAACTGCGCGAAGAAGAGACCGAGTTATTGGACGACTTGAATAATTTAAAAACGCTTTTGACCGAGAGTGTCACGTGCCACCGACGGCTCGGACAGTCGATTGCCCGTATCGACGCACAGCTGCAGGTCAAAGAAAATTCGTTAAAAATCGACAACGTACTGTGTCTCGAACAACGAAAACGCATCAACTATGACAATATTTTTTAAACACGCCCGATATTTTTGGTATCAATTTTTGTTAAATTCGCACTAAAATAATAATGAATTATACACCAAAATTTACCAATATTTAAAAAAAAATTGATACACCTAATATATTGTATAACTGTATAAGTTACCTATTATCATATCGATTTCAGGACATCACTTTTATGTACTGTAGTTACTTGAGACACTTACAAATTTAGATTCTCAGTGGAGCGAAGAATGTATTGGTTTTACGAAAGATGTTTATTTTTTTATTATTTTTTTTTTTTATGTGAATACTTTCTACCAGAAAGCACATACTCCGATGTAAACATTGTAGACGTTTTTCTGAAAAGAAATTTTCCTAGGTGAAACTATAAAAAGATAATTGTTTGATTTGTTCAAGAGTTTTCAAACCAAATGTGAAAAACCGAAAAAAAATGCAGGGAAAACGGGAAATAGGTACATTAAACAAATATTATTAAAGTAAATAAATATACATAATGCCTATTTAATTATTTTATATAATAAAATAAAAAATAAATTATTAAAATGGTTAGTACTCGTAAATAAATATTGTAAAAAAATGTGTATGCAAAAGTAAAAAATAAATAAATGAATAAATGCGTTGCCTGGAGTATTATGATAGCTGCATTATACTTCCTTCATTTTATTTTTATATTCAATCGCATTTTACATTTTGACTGTAATATACCCGATGAATTCAAAAACCGATCGTATAATACACTTGTCATAATACTTTAGGCGACGCATTTATTCATTTTTTTTTATTTTTATTTATATATATTTTTTTTTTACTATATTTAATTATTTTACCATAATATGACATATATATTGTTGACAAAGTATCACTAAAAACTCCGCTCAGAATAGTTTTTCTTTAGCAATGGTTTATCGTTGCTAACAGGTTAGTATTAGATTGCCTATAAGAGTGGCTACACTCGTTCCCATTATCCTAGGACAGATTTTTTAAATAATTTAACCGTGCAGTTATATTTTTCAAATAAAACAGTCTAATTTTCCTTTTTATTTTTTTCGGAACACAAAATGTAAAGGACATACTTCGCACGATGGACGGGCTACTGTTTTAGGTGAGAAGTTGGGAAGGTAGAAGGGAAATTTAACGTGCATCATAAATATATATATATATATATATATATATATATATATTCACCCTTGCTAACAAAAAATGATTCTAAACGGAGTTCGCATAACAGTGCTTTGGTCATCAATATATATTACAGAAAAATACTTGCATTATATATTTTCTTTAGTAATAAATGTTAAATAAATTGCAACTATTTTCCCGTTTTTTCTAAATCATTTCCCGGTTTTTCCCATTTATTAGGAAAACTCCTGGGAAAATCAAAAACTTACCTCCCTAAAGTAGTAAAATTCCACCCCCAGTCAGACTTCCAACGCCGTTCAAAATCGTTTTTCATTAGCAAAGTTTAATTGTTCCTTACAGATATATATATATATATATATATTACATTTCTTCTCTATCTTCCCAACTTCTCTCGGACAACAGTGGCCCATCCATCGTGCGAAGTATGTCCGTCTCTTTTCTGCTGTTAGTTTTAATATTAAAATTAATTAACCTGTTGTTAAACTTAAAGGTATAAGAACCTATGCAACTACGTCGGTTTTTTTAAAAATATTTTAATTTCTAAAAGAGATACGGGTACGTGAAATAATTAACAACGTTAATGTATCTCGTTTAAAAATTTAAACCACAGATAATACTATTTATACTAGAGTTTGCAGATCGATTCGCTTATCAATATTAAAAATAATGGTGCAAAATTAGTTTTTCTGAACGCAATATTGTGCGTTTGTTTAGACGAATACAGCACATTCCTAAGTCGGTTCTAAATCGATAGGACGATTTATGAATTCGTATAAAAAAAAATTGAAACGTATAATGCACGTTTCCATTATCCGTCTAAGGGTGGGTTACATAAAGATCAGTCTGTGGCTTTACTAAGGCGCCTTGTAACGTTTTAATGGCATGTGAAAAAAAAATAAAAAATGAGTTACATAAAAGATTTGTATTTTATTGATAACCGTGGTTACCAAATAAATTATACCACATTTTATTTGATTACAATGATTACTGATTACATTATCGAGTATCAATAGTTAATAATAAATAAATATTTGAAAAAAATATTCGAATTACAATTTACATTATAATATTTGTTTGATCTTTGATCGCCAAAAAGGATAAGTCGGAAAAATGTTACTGAACGATAAGATAATTCCACATAAGGATATAGTTTAAAATATTAAGCTATTTGTTTGACAGGTTAATTTCATTATAAATTGGCATGGTAAAAACTAATATGCATTTGTGACTGATTTTTTTAATGTCAAAAAAATAAAAACCAGTCTTGGAAGAAATAACCAAGCTGTAATAGTAATGATCCAGAAAATAGAAATAGAATAGTTTTAGAAAGAAACTATAATTCTCATCATCATCATATATTAAGGAATCTGTAAAAGTTACAGACACAAATTTAGATCTGTGAGTACAGGTCCAGTAGCCAAGAAATTACGGACCCGTTAACGCTAACGAGCGTTCAAACAATACCCAATATTTTTTTAATGGGCCAGTAGTGAGTTAAAGGCTCTGTAAAAATGCTAATGTACGTTTGTGAAACTCGGTGTATGTATACTTAATAAATATGGTGACGTTCGTAATATTGGTCTGAGACGTTATCACAGTCAACGGACTTTAAGTGGGAAAAATTGAAAAAGGTACTATATTAATGTATTCATCGAAAATTTTAGAGGCATTTCCGAGAACGAAATAAACCTAATCAAATTTTCAAGGAACACGTCGCGGAGCCAAGACACTTCCAAAACGTTTTTCACTCACACACATTTGGTTATAAAAGTTTTATTAAAAATAAAAAAAAACCTGCACTCGCACTCAAATATTATCCAACGTACGTATACCCGTTCAGTAAAAATACAGTAAAACAGAGTCTGATAATAGGATTGATACATTTTTTTTTTTTAAAACCCGCTACACCGAAAGTATATTTATTTTACGACGAAATTGTAAACGTCCCTCGTCTGTTCATAACAGATTAGTAATTCAAGTGAGTCCATAGGTTCAAAAATTATTATGCCTGTTATTTATTAGTTTATTACCAAACAATAACAATAATATGATATGCTTACCTCATACAAGAAAACTCGGCAATTTTCGAAATTCGAACACTGGTAATACACTATTTTATTTTATTACCGTACACGCTCGGTGAATATTATAGTTTTCTAGCCGAATGCGGGCCAAGTTAATAAATCTATGATTTTTATTTTATTATTATTTTTTTTTTTTTTTTTACGGAAAACGTGCCGCGACGGCGGCGGTTCTCTTTCTTCGACGGTGCATTGCAATTGTTTTTGGTTTTTGAATTATCGAATTTCACTGCGTTCTGGAAACGACGGCGAAATGGTACTTTTTTTTACGCCCCGTTATTCGTTTGGTCGTTTGAACACGATTTTTTAATAAAACAAAATATCGCATCACAGACCAATGCGCCGAGCCACTATATTTTTCGAATTACGTACTAACGTCACGTTCGACCGGCAGTCCTTTGCTTTACAGGTAAATCGTTTTGAAATGATATTCGATCATAAAATTCATCGTGATAACATAGTTGCAAGAATCGTAGATTTTATTTTTGGGTATTATTTCGCAACAAGGCATTTTCGATTATTTTTTAGAACGTTTTTCGATAGTTTTCAGAGCATTTAAATCTAAACTCTGATATAGTTACTATTTTAAAGGTATATCACACGGTGCTTTGTTTTTGTATATCAGTGCCAGAACCAGGTATTGTGAGGCCATGCACAAAGTACTGTCGCGAGGCCTATATGCTTTGGTACCCGTTGTAGGGAGGGCGACATGTGCCCGATGGCTTTTTTAATTTAAAAAAAATTAATATTTACTACAACTTTATAATTGTATTATTTGTTTATAAGCAAAGAATTTACATAGTGATTTTATTTACTAACCTTAACCAAAAACGTTTCGTTATTATGTGAAGTATATACGTGATATGTTTTTTATGAACTAAAATATAGATTTCAAAATAGATACGAATAGTATAATAACAATTGTATAAAAAGCAGAGTTTAATTTCGAGTACGTTAAATATTATGTTATACCTTTTGAAAATGACGAATTCGAGTTCTGCTACAGAACTTTTTTGTACGTATTTTACTTAGATTTGTGAACATTAACCAGTCATAAAAAAAAAAAAACATGTTAGAAACACAGTAAAAGCCAATACTGTGTTATTAGTTTTGGGAAAGAATATTTGAAGTTATCAGGCGCGTTTACAAAAAAAATATTTATTTCTTTTTTTTTTGCGGGAGGTAGGGGTTTAAGGTCGTACACTTGTTGTTATCGAATCGGCTTTTCATCAAATTTCGTTCGCCTGTCATTGTTAGAATTGTAATAAAAATCTAGATGAACCCAAATATGGCCCGAACCACAACGTGATTTATATTATTTTAATGATAATGCGGTCTATGCGATATCGCCGTATCAGTTGCATAACATAATTTTCCAAAAGCGGGAAAACCACGAAAAATAAAAAAATGACAATGATATCGATTTTCATATACCTAGTCTAGTCTAGTAATAAAACAAAAACCGACATTTTATTGATGTTCCTTATTGACAGACACCGCTTTTGAGACTGCGTACGTAAAAAATCTACTCTCGTCGTAATTTTCACGAAATTTCGGGGGTGGTGAGAGGGAGGTTGAACCCCGAAACCTTCACCCTTGTACGCGCGCCTGGGTGTCGTCGTAGTTCTCTGTCAACGCCGTGTGTCGTCTGGCTGTAACGCGAAACGCACAATGAAAATGACGAAAACGATTATTGCGTTTGATAAGGAAATAAAAAATAAATAAATAATAACGACTACGAGAGAGGAGTAGGCCGCGCCGATAACATTTGCGTTTCGCGTTCCGTCGCT